TTGAAGTATAAAACTAATTTAGTAATACTTGATAAATCATCAATACTGCTGTATCATTTTTTATTTCAGCTTAACAAATTACCATAAATTTAGGTAGTGATAACCATTTGTTAGCCCACAAGTAGTTCAGAATAGGCATACTGTGTCTGGTTCTCTGCTCAGGAACTCACAAGGTTGAACTGTAGGTGTCAGGTGGGCTGCATTTCTGTCTGGAGGCTCTGGGGAAGAATCTACTCCTAAACTCATTCAGGTTGTCAGCTAAATTCATTTTCTTGCATTTGTAGAACTAAGGTCTCCATTTTCTTACTGCCTGTCAACTGGGAGTCACTCCTAGTTCCTACAAGCTACCATGTGCTCCTCTCCATCTTCAAAGCTAGCAAGAGAAGGTCCCTGTGACTCTGATCTCCCCTGTCCCTGACCTCCAGACCCAGGTTCATGTGATTAGCTCAGACCCAATGAAATAATTGCCTCACTGGATACTTTAATTACATGTTCAAAATCCCTCCAAAGCAATAGTTTTGAATGAATAGGCAAGAGAAGGTAGGTATATACCAGGGGCCAGGAATTTGCATAGGCTACCTTATAATTCTGTGTATCACAAGTGTGAAGGTTTAAAATGACTGTACGTGTGTCTACATATATACGTTGTCCCTTGGTATCCATAGGAGATTGTTCCAAGACCCTGTGAGGATACCAAAATCTCCAGATACTCAAGTCTCTTATATATAATGATGTAGTATTTGTATATAACCTATCCACATCCTACCATATACTTTAAATCATCTCTACACTACTTATACTATCTAATACATTGTAAATGCTGTGCAAATAGTATTGTTTAGGGAATGACAAGAAAAATTATCTGTACATGTTTAGTATAGATGTAATTCTTTTTTCCTTCAGTGCTGGGGATCAAACCCATGGCTTCATGGATGCTATGCAAGCACTCTACCATTTTACATCCTCAGCCCCAGATGCAATTTTTTCCGAATAGTTTTGGTCTGTAGTTGGTTGAATCATTAATGTAGAACCTATGGGTTTCACATCGCAAATCTTCTCAGACTTACTTCATTTGATAAATATTGCACCTACTATCCCTCATTTCCCACAAAACAGACTGCTGGCTACCCAATACACACTCATTCCAATGCAATACACTCTTATTGCGCACCTAATGTGTGCCAAGTGTTGTCCTAACTCTTCTAATGCTCCCTCTGAAGGCTTTAAAATCTAGTAGGTGAAGATAAGTGCCCACCGGGTGCTCTGCAGTATGACAGAATGGCTAAAGAGAGGGAGAAAGGGAGATCTTGCCCATCAGGGAAATGTAAAAAGCTTCAGGGAGGAGATGGTGTTTGGTTTTAATCTTGAAGAACAGGTGGGATTATAATAAGTAGTCACAGGCAGGTCATAAGACAATCCAGGTGGAAGTAATCAAGTCATTGTGTGAGCAAAGAGATTAAGGGGGAAAGCTTGGGCCATATCCAGAGAACAACTGACACATTAGTCTGAACGGAGAAGGAGAGAAGCAATTAGACAGTACACCAGTGTCAAAGTGACACCTTAAAAGCCAGACTTAAAAATAATGGGGAAACATAGAAAAAGTATAGGGAGAAATAATAAAATTAGTGCTGCCATTTAGAAATGAGTCCGGTGGAGGTGTGTAGGCTGAAGAAGGAAATCCTGAATTCTTGTGATAAGAGATGAATAAGAAAGGGTTGCCAGCCATCTATGCTACAGGGATAAAAGCCTGTGCTATATATGAAGGAGTGAACACAGAAATGGAAACCAGTACAACATGTAGGCTGAAAGACAACGAGGAGTAGTCACTAATGACTCAGAGTTTTCAGGCCTGTGATTGAAGAATGTTCCCTGATTACAGCTTATTATTATCTCCATGACTCAACAAATCATAGACTTACAGTTCTTTGTGGCTAGAAGAGATCTCAGAAGGCCCAGACTGAAGTAACTAAGAACTGGCCAAAATAAACATTTCAAAGACACTTGGCTGATTAGCACCTTGACTCAGGCAAGGAAGCTGGGCCTCTTCATTTGCCATCAAAGCAGCTGCTGGTCCCTGCTAATCACATCAAAGTTCTTTTCGGTTATAAGACAATCCAGGAGCAATATACAAAAGGTAAATTGCATAATTCATCACTGAGCAAAGGCCAGGACAGAGCTTAGGGTTGGCACGAGTGAACTGGAACAATTTCAAAACTAACTTGGATCCCACCTCTCTCCAAATTTCTGAAGTGTCAGTCTCCAAAATTTTTTGAAAAAGGCTTCCAGAGGTGAGTGCACCACACAGGTCAATTTTTATACACAGATAAATGTATACTGGAACTGTCTTTAGAATTTCCTCGTAACAGTGGATTTTCTATTACCTTCAGAGCTTTCCAATGGTTTGAATGCAAAGACTCAAATTCTCTTTCAGCAATGGCTCTGAAATGGAGTGGGGAAAAGGGAACTGCCAAAATCCACTTAAGATATTCTCAATCTAAGATCCTTCCTATTAACTTGCTCACAGCAGAATGACTGAAGCCAGCACTCTGGTTATTTCTTTGACCCAATTTGAATGTCTTCCAATTGTATCTAACAGTTGCTGAGTGGAGTGGATTCTGGGAGCTATTATTTCTGTGTCTGAAAGCTTACACATCTTAATTCTTCTATAAAAGTACCTCTACCTTGTGAGAATTCCATTCTCATCCCCAGAGCTGTAGGGAATGGATTGGCAAAAAGTCTTCCAATGTTGGAATGTTATTGTTTCTTGTGCCCTTCATTAAACCCCTGCAAGATGGAAGCTTGGCCCATCTTCACACAGAAAGAGAATAATACACATTTTTCTTAAGAGAGCCCTATGTTGCCTGGTGATCAGCAATCCAAGATGGCTGATGGTCAGGTAATTTGACTTGTTCAGCTGAAAAGCCATCTCCCCTACCCTGCTGAAGAGGGCTTGAGTAGAAATAAAATAATGGGATATGAGATAAGATAACAGAAGAAGTAGAAAAATAGAGGAAGCCTAATATCCCAGACCCCTTCTTTATACTTCCTGCAAAGTATGCTCTACTGCCTGATGGGATAACATCTCCAGTGTAAAGTGCCATCCACTGGAATCCTTCTGAAAGCCATTAAATCAGTGGGTCCTCACCACACCAGCCTGTTGTGGTATGTTGCTCTGAGGCAAGGGACAGGACATAAGGTGTTAAAATGATAGTGTGGGCGGAGGGCAGAATTCCTCAGCTTGTTCCAAGAACTCATAAACCACAAGAAAAAGTTCCAGATCCCAAAGTCATAAACTTGACAATATTGCTAGTATTAGCTATAAACTATTGAAATTCCTGGGAACTGAATACCCTGGATGGCTGTCTGTTGTTTTTTTTTAAAAAAAATCTACTGCCAGGTAAGTCCCCAGCCTGGCAAACAAAGTGTGACAATTGCTCAATCCCTAGGGCATGTCCCCCTCCTGGATAACTCCACCCATATGAAGTAGAAGGCTTAAACTGTGTAGTGGCCAGCAGAGAACCTTACCACTGCCTCCCTTAGGAAAGGGTGTGGAGAACAAGGGGCACTTTCCTGTTAGGCAGACCCTGAGGCAGTGGGAAGACTGACTGCCCAATGCCCCATTCTGCTGCAGGAACAGAGGATACTTACATTACCTGTCCAGCAGGAAGTGTCCTGGGCCCCCGACCACTGCAAATTACTTTATCTTTTCTTCCTTTCTAAATGACAGTGTTTATTGTGGGTAGCCAGTTTCCCCTTTAATGGTTTCATTTTCCATTTGCTCATAGATTGCTAAGTGGATCGTGAAAACCACATCTGGATTTGATCAAGAAGAACATACTATCCCCAGGATCTCTGATCTTGTTGCTGGATGTAGTAACCAGCTTTTCAACTGTCTTTCCCTAGGGTTCCAGTTTTTATTGTATGTAGCATAGTTCCATTTTGTTGATGCAGGATGTTTTCCTTAATATTACAATGATGTAGCACTTAATGACAGAGATACATTCTGAGAAATCTGTCATTGATAACTTTGTCATTGTGTAATCATAGAAAATACATAAGATACAACATCTCTCAGTAGTATAATCTTATGGGACCACTGTTGTATATGTAGTCCATCATTGACTGAAATGTCATTAAGCGGCATGTGACTGTATACAGTGGACCCTTGACTTATGAACTCAACTGGTTCACAAGGGCTGGTTGTAGCTCAAGTTGGTTGAAGTTAATACAGCTGAGATCTGCATATTTACCTGAGTATATGCTATAAATAACAGGAGGTAGATGAATCTTCCATTAACCTAATTAACTCAAGTTGTTCGTATGTCAGGCCAGTCGTAACTCGAGGGTCCACGGTATGTCACTGTGCACATGCTACACAGCCAAACAGAAGAAGGTAGTAGACTGCTATAGCTCTTACTTTGGTGTTTAAACATGTATGTTTTTCTGTGCCTTTTCTTAATAGGACTCTTTTCCGCCTCTCAACCCTGGTGGAGGTACTGAGCACATTGTTCTATTCCCAATAAGCCAAAATCCAAGATAGGTTGATCATAGTTCTCTATCTCCTATAAACAGTGATTCCTCTAGTCCCTTAACCTAGGAGAAAAGACTCTATTCTTATATTTTAAAAAAATTTCTGTTCCCACTAAAGTTGTTCAGCTAAGCAAGCTGAGGCCCAGATCTGACCCCTACATGACCTAGAGTAGAAAAGAAATGAGGCCAACTCACGAAGAAAGCCGAGACAAGAGGCAGACAGAAAGGAAGAGCCCAACCATACTTCTGAGATCCAAGTCCCAGTCCCTGGAGGCCTGGCAGTACATAATCTATATAATTCTGTAAGAAGGCCGCCTCCTTAGCTTTTCAACTGTGACTTGTAGCTTATGATAGTATAAGTTGGGTTCTGTCACCTGTGACAATTTAAAGAGATCTCAATATAAACTTGCTGCTACAGATTGAACAGGGGAGAAATAAGGACAGCATTCCTAGACAGAAAATAATTTTACCTTTCACCTGAGCCAAAACTGCACAGGAGTATCTTCTCACCTGCAAAGGAAAACAGCAGCACATTAGGTGGCACATAGTGTCCACTTAACCAATATAATTCAGAGGGTAAAGCCCTCTGAGACTCAAATTTTGACATCTTAACTTAAGCTAAAAGATCTTTAAAGTCCCACCTAGATCTAATAGCTTACGGTTCAGCCATCTATCACCAGTGTCCAAGTATGTATGGTAACAAATGCATGGGTAACAAGTATAGAAATGACCCAAGAGATCACTTCTATAGGTTTCCAGTAGATCTCAGAAAGCACACATCATGGGTAAACAATAGAATGGCAAGAGCTTCATTCCCCATTGCCAGTTGTGAGCAACTGGCATTGATGGCCTGGAGAACTATGTTGAAAAGGATTCTGAGGTGACATCTAGGTTCAGAAGAAGTAGAGAAGGACATTATAGGCAAGTTTATGAAAAGTTCTGGCTTATAATATTTCACCTATCTGGATGACACTTGCCAACCTGTTACCCCATATGCACCCACAAACCAGGAAGAAATTAAGAGGAACATGCATGAAAGAAGAAAGTTGCAAGCGTACTGGACTGGAATGCCTTCTCTTCTCTCCTGTCATTATTATCTACTTATCGATCAGAACTGCTGGGATTTTTATGTATAAGACTCAGACCAAATTCCCCAGAGGAAGCTGAATAATGGGAATTAGAGAAAGATCCCACCAACCTCATTAGGAGATTCTCTTCCAAGTGACAAAATTGGGCATTCTGGTTTTCATTTTATTGAAAGTATTTTTAACTGCCTTTTTTTTTTGATACCAGGGATTGAACTCAGGACCTTGCACTTGCAAGGCAGGCTGTGGAACCACTGAGCTAAATTCCCAGCTATTAAAAGTATTTTTAAAATAAATTTAAACTGAAAAGTTCTGGGAAAAGCTTAAAATAGTCACAAAGTTTTAAATGTGATTAAATTTTACCTTGAGGCTAAACATAACTATTGGGAATGGAGTGAATGGTATATTTCAAGGCCCTGGAGAAGCAAAGGGACCTCAAATAGCAAGGTGGTCACTAGGGAATTGAATATATTAAAGCAGAGAAATAGTCAGAGGCCAGGTGAAGAAAAAGCTCATTAAACTGACGTGCATTGATCAGATGTGCATTTTACAAAATTCATCCTGACAGCAGCATAGAGCAAAGAGATAGGCAGAAATAAGAGGAAGATGAGCTAGAAAACTGATGTTCAGAGAAGAGAGGTCAAAGGCTGAATAATTCTGGTGAAAAAAAAAGAAAGCATATTTTAAGTAGTATTAAGGTGATAGAAATGAGGCGATTTGATGGTGGATTGGACAAGAAGGTAAGAAATGGGGAGGAGTCAAGAATTATTCCCAGCCTTCTCTCTTAGCTACTGGAAGCATAGTGATGCTGCTTATTAGGACAAATACACAGAAGGAAAAACAAAATGGGGGAGATAGTTCCTAATTTCAAATACTTCCTAATTTCAAAATGTACTATAAATCTACAGTAATCAAAACAGTGTGTTGCTAGATGCAGTGGTGTGGACCTGTAATCCCAGCTATTTAGGAGGCTGAGGCAGGAAGACTGTGAGTTCAAGGCCAGTCTAGGCAATATGGCAAGACTCCATCTCAAAAGCAAACAAAACAAAACAAAAAACATTGCAGTGCTGGCATAAAGACAGACATGTAAATCAATTAAATAGAATACAGAGCCCAGAAATGAACCCTTGCATTCAATGAGAAAAGGTCTTTTCAAGATGTGGTAGTGGGAAAACTGGATATTCAAATTTTTTAAAAAGCTGAACCCTTACCTAACACCATGTGCAAAAATTAATTCGCAATGTATCAAAAGACCTAAATGTAAAACTTACAACTATAAAATGTTTAAAATACAATATAGAGAAAATTTTTCATAAAACTGGATTTGTCAGTGATTTCTTGAATCTAACTACAATGGCACACACAGTCAGCAAAATAAAAAACAGACAAATTGGATTTCATCAAAGCTAAAAACCTTTGTGCATCAAAGAACACTATCAGAATAAAAATGCAACTCAAAGAATGGAAGAAAATATTTGCAAATTTCAAATCCCTTTAGGGACTACTATGCAGGGTATATAGAGAACTTCTAAAAATCAATGACACAAAAGCAAACAACTTAATTTAAAAGTGAGTAAAGGACCTTAAAAAACATTTCTCCAAAGAAGATATATAAATGGCCAATAAGCACATGAAAAGATGCTCGACATCATTAATCACTAAAAAAATGCAAACCAAAACCACAATGAGATGCCAGCTGGCATCCATTAGGATATCTATTATTTTAAAAGTCCATGGTAGGGCTGGGGATTCAGCTCAGTGGTTCTGCCACTTGCCTCGCAAGCACAAGGACCCGAGTTCGATCCCCAGTACAAAAAAAAAAAAAAAAGTCCATGGTAAAGTTCTGGGCTTTAACTTTCCAATTCTTAATCCCTACAATATAGCCACAAAGCACTACCAACCCTCTTTGCTACTTAGACACAGTTTTAAAAGTAACCATTGGTTTCATTTCAAGTATGCCAATGGCACATTAGACCTGTGTCCTATGCAGAACTTAACAGATGTCTGCTTTAAATATGTGATGAACCTTACAACTGAGATGGTTTCATACTTTTGCCTTAAATGTATCAGTCAAGAGATGTTTTATTAGTATTAATAGAAGTTTTCTAGGGGCCGGGGATTTAGCTCAGTGGTTTCACCGCCTGCTGAGCAAGTGCAAGGACCCGAGTTCGATCCCCAGTACCAAAAAAATATAGAAGCTTTCTAATTTTCATTAAAAACTCATATGAATTTATACTAAGCTTAGACTTCTCCTAAGTTAACCATCACAATGTTCTTCTGGATTTTCTATCCCAGACTGGTTTATGCAGTTATAGCTATTCTGCTTGTCTAGCTCATTCTATTTATCTAATGAATATTTACTTCTTGGTCTCATGAAAGAACCAATGGTTGAAAAGCACAGTCTTTCTGAGGACAGAGGAAGGAAGAGTGGGGCCTATGACACATCAAGGAAGTACTCATCTGCCTTTCCCTCTTGCTCCCCAGGTGAATGAGGGGAGCCAGCAGCCTAGAAGGGGTTCAAGGAAGTTGACAGAAAGATTTATCCAGACGTTCCTTTTCACAAAAACAAAACAAAACAAGTTGTTCCTTGGCAGCTCAGGCTTCAGCAATGGAACAGAATGAGGGCAACTGTGAAGCTTAAGAACCAAAACCACATCAGTCCAAATGCAGATCCAGCAATTCTCCCGGGATGTTTACAAATCATCTGTAAAGGTTTCATCGCCCATTCTTTAAAAAGACAAAGCATTTGACCTAAGAGTCAGGGGCACATTCCAGTGGTTACTACATGCAGTGTCCAACTCAAATACTAGAAAAACACATGTTCAAACATTTAAATTTCACATGAAGACAAAAATACCAAGTTCATAAGAGCTTTTAAAGAACTATACCTTATTCCATTCACTTGTGATTCGTAATACAATATGGTAATCGTTCCCTGTTTTTAAGGGTGCATTATAATATTTCCCATAGTATAGCCTATCTCCAATAGATATCTCCATGGTATCATCTGCAACATCTTTGGCCAGTAGTTCTGCTGCCACATATCCATCAGTATTAGAGGCATTGCTAAAGAATGAGGTAGCCCCTTCATAATCACAAGAAAATATGCTTTGGAGGGCCAGTGGAAGCACCAACACCTGATATGAACTGGAAGGAAAAAGAAAAATGTCTTATCAGATCTTCGTGTGGAGGATTCATTCATTCACTTATTTATATTTACTGAGCTCCTACTGTGATATAAGCACTTTTCAAAGGCACTGGGGACCCAGCACTGGACAAGAAAAAATCTTGGCCCACATGGGATTTAGCGTCTGACAGCTCCAACAGTCATGAAACTCCAAATCAAACTATGATGCCAATGCCAGATGACATTGGTGAGTGACTCTGCAAGTTCTAGCTGCAGAGTTGTTTTCTTCACTAGGAGAACTTGTTGCATATATTGCTGCCCCTGTGTGTCTGTCATATGATTGATCTAATCGGTGATTTTCACATGGGCAAGCAAAGTCAAGCAGTGGAAAGGGTTTTGCAGTCACATGAAGGCCAACTTCCTATAATTGTTAATGTACTAAGTTTGAAAAAGTCTCCAGACAATCATGTGGCAACTTGAAACAGAACTCATGTGATTTACATTCCCGGCAGTTCCCAGTCTGATACCAAAGTTCATGTGAAATAAATGAGAAGCCAGGAGTACAAAGTCTCCAGGAGTTAATCTAGGCTGACAAGATTTTAAAACAGCCAGAAAGGCAAAATGTTATATGGACATTATGAAACTGTTCCCTAACTGTAGGCATCAGGTGTCATCTTGTCATGTATTCTATTATTATTTATCCCATCAAATAGCCTACCAGTAAAAGGACATGTAAGAATAAAAGTGCACTGAGAAAGAGTCATGCCTTCCTTTCCAGTTCCATTAATTCAGTCCTTATCTTCTGCCTCTGGTATAGTAAATATTTGATCATCTGCTATCTCTATCTTACTTGATAACAAGAGGTTGAATTACTTACTCTTGCATATTTTCAAATCCTTGCATATTTCTTTGGCTATGATTATCCCCTCATTAATGTTTCTCAAGTTAAACACTCAGTAAAGAGGAAAAGCTTGCATGGATACCAAATACAATTAATTTCCCAAACTCCTTAAGCCGCATAATACTATTTCATGACCAAATCTGCACTTCCTGTTCCATATTGCTAATGCCTGGTCTCCTGCGTCCTATAAGCTCAAGAATCACTAGGTTAAGAAAAGACAACTCTCTCCCACAGTAGGTGTATTTGGAAAGTCTCCAGGTTCCCAAACATTCTAGGTATCCTGAGGGCCCTGATTTACACAAAGTCTGGCTCACTTTCAGTAAAGGGATTTCTACAAAAGAGACAAAGTAAAAACCTGCAGAGCAGTAAGTAGTCACCACCAGTAAACCATTACTGGGCATCCACTGCCTACAGGGAGCACCTGCAACAAAAACTTTCCCCAGGGCTTTAGAAGACATCCCTGTGAATCATGGTCCAGTAAGAAAGCAGCAGCTCTATGCTGTCCATGAACACAAGCTTTAAATCCTTCTCATCTTTCCATGGATAGACAGATGGTGGGGGTCATGTACAAATTTTCAAGGCTCACCTTTACCCATTTGGAACTCTACACTGCCCCCTACAGGTGTCACTCACAGAGCACAAAGCAGCTCCCAGTCTCATCCCACACCTCCTGAATCAAAATCTCCAGGAGTAGAATTGGGAATGTGTAGTGTTGGTAAAGCAACCCAGGCAATCTCTATTAACTGGCAAGGATGGGAGATGCTAGCATTCAGGGAGTGCAGCAACAGGCTGAGTTATCTACTTAAGATGAGCAAGCTGAGGAAGGGAGACTCGGTGCCCGGGTCCTTGCTCCATGAGGTTGCCCAAGCCAAATAATGCACAACACAGGCTGAGGCCTGACAAAGCTAGCTCCAGCTCACACCAGGCAGTCAGGCCAAGGAAATCACCTCACTTGTCTGCTGGTAATGAGGCCTCATGACGTAAGCTGCTGAGGCAGTTTGGAACCTGACTGTTCTAGAAGGAGTTCTCCCCACTTTCTCACCACTACCCTCCCTCGATGATTCACAAATCTCCACTTCCTGTTTTGGAGGAACTGGCTGACACACAGCCACAAAGATAGACTGTCATTTGGCTTTTCTGTTTGCCTTATGTAATTATTTGGCTTGAGTATCACATTTGCTCTTGTACATTCTCTCAGGCAGTGATGTCACAACTTCTGTCCTCCTACAGTAACAGAATTACAATGCCTTCCAGTAACTTGTCAGGAATCAAGAAACATAGCCACTTAAGCAATGTCTATCACTGGATTTAAACTAATATGAAAGCAGGAAAACCTCAAGTATTATGACAGACACACAAGTTTTCTTTTTCATGATTTTGCAGTATCTCATATTTACTTGTACCTGGAATGCACTGAGAGATCACTAAAGAGTCAAGAGGCCATGTAGGTCCAGCCATGCACACTGTCAACTCCTTAACCTGGTACTGAGGGCAAGTTGTTCCTCTCTCCAGGACAGCCTTTATCTTCCTCTTTTTTAAAAAAAAAAAAAAAAGAGAGACTGATTCTACTTTCCTAAACCTACCATGACCTTTGTAAATAAATGCAAAATTGAACACAATGTAGTCCTCCAGCAAACTAATACCATCTCTCCTAATATCATCTGGAATCCCAGCAGCAGCCACTGACTACATAGTATCTTGCCCACAACTCAATACATGAATGGATAAAAAGAATTATCCAAATGACCTTTCCAGAAACCAGTACACATTCATCAAGATCTGCCTTACATAAAGAGAAATATATTCTGTCTCTAGTAAATGAAATGTCACTCTTGACAGTCCATCACTAAAGGACATGCTATGAGTGTGAATGCAAAGGACAACTGTCAGCCATGTTTGTCAATGCTCAAAGAAACAGATTTAATTTGTTGAGCTAAACTTCTCAAATGCTTGTCTCTGGTTTCTTAGAAGTCTCTTTCTTCCTTCAGAAGAATATTGTTGGGATTAAAGACCCAGACTATAGTCAAGCAAATTTTTTAAAAGAGGATTGCCCCAAATACTCAAATGCAGCCACCCACACACAAGTCTTCTCAACCAAACCAAAGTTTCCAACAGCCTATGGGGATCACTGGACAACTACAGAGAAATGATACCCACTGACCTGATAGGTCCATTTCTCTCCTTTGCTTTCTTCAGCTTGAGGCGTGGTAGATGTCCTCTACGCACTATGAAAGATTCTATTTCTGGAACAGGAGGCCCTGAGAACATTAAAAAGAAGAAAAGATAAGTGGTATGATCAGAAAAAGTAAAAAGCACAAAGAAATTGTTCTTTGTGGAGGCCATTAAAGTTTTAATATAAAAAGTAATGAGCATTTTTTTTTGGTATTGGGGATCGAACTCAGGACCTTGTGCATGCGAGGCAGGTGGCAGCACCACTGAGCTAAACCTCCCAGCCCAATGAGCATATTTTGATACACCCTACAACAGAGATGAACCTTGAAAATAATGCTAAGTGAAATAACCATACCCCCCCCAAAAAATATTGTCTGACTCCACTTTTAGCAAATATCTAAAATAGGTAAATTCATAGACTCAGTAATACAGTATATTAGAGGCTGCCAGGTATTCAGGATGTCAGTGAAAAAGGAAACCCATTGCTTAATGATCACAAGTTCTGTTTGGGGTAATGAAAAAGATTTAGAAATAGGCAGTCATGATGGTTCCATGATATTGGACATGTACTAAATGAATACTTTAAAACAGTTAAAATTGTGCATTTTCCACCTTGAAGAGATGAGCATGCCCCACACTGACAAAGGACAGATGCAGGCTTGACAGTTGCATGGTAAGGAGCTTCTGATTTGGTAGGTACTGTGGGTTAGATATGGTTTACATGCGTCCCCCAAAGGTTCATGTGTTGGACTCAGTGCAGCAATGAGAGGTGGTGAAACCTTTAAGAGGTGGGGCTTAATGAAAGGTAATTAGATCATTGGGGGGTGATTCCCTTGGAAGGGATTACTGCTGGTCTCAAGGAGTGAGTTAGTTGCCAAGAGAGTGGACTGTCGTAAGAATAAGACTAGACCCACCTCATCTCTGCTTCCTGTCTCACCATGTGGCCTCTTCCACATTTGCTCCATTTTGACACTGTCTGCCACAGGGCTCTCATCAGGCCAAAGTGATGGGACAGCCTGATCTTCAGAAATTTTCAGTCTTCAAAACTTGGAGCTAAATAAACTTCTTTCTTTATAAAGTACCCAGCCTTGGGTATTTAGTCATAACAATGAAAAATGGACTAATATAGCTGGGAAGACCAGCTTTATCAGCCAGTGTTATCTGTTCTTATTTTGTACTCCTTTAAACCAGATGTCCCAAATAGGTCTTTGTTTGGGAAGAAAATACTGTATACTGCCTGGATAACACCAGTGTTCCAACATCTCATTAAAAGTTACAATCAGACTGTCAGTGCACCAGCCACCAGTCTGCCCATGGGTAATACAGTGAAGATGTATTGGGCACTAACCATACACACTAGATGTGTCCTGTATTTGCCTCATATCATTTAATCTCCCCACAATGCTTCCAGGTGGAAGTTACTTATGGGAGAAATCATTTTCTCCTTCTCTTGGTGTTCCTACCTTAGCCCATGTGGTAGAAATTTCTTTCCTCTCCAAAGTATTAGGAAAAGACTCCCACCTGCCTTTATGTCCATATGACTTGTGGGATAACAGTTTGGCTGTTGTTCTCATGTGTCCCCAACTTTTGCTTCTTTTTCTTTTTTTATGGGGACATCCTGAACACAGGGCAGATGTTTCCACCTCCTGTTCCCATCCTCCATACACTAAGCAAACCTGAGTCAAGGCCAAATCTGAAGCCAGGCCCACATTTTCCCAATAGACCCAACTTTCCCACAGGTGGGGTGCAAGTTTAGATGTGGCAGGACATTCCAGGAAGCTTTATTTTGGCCTTGAGCTCAACCCAGCTTCACCAGCAACAAAAATGATAATTGGATTCCTATCTCACTCTTGTTTATATGTTTTTATTTTTCCCTAAACTCAGAAGTGGAACAATTATGGTTAATATTTTTGAAAATTTAATTTTGTAGATGAGAAAACTGACTCATGGAGAGACTGAGTTACTTACCCAAGAGCACACAGAATGTTGCAGAGTGAGGATTTGAACCTATTGTTTTGTATCTTTCTTGTTTCCCTTTGGGTTTTCTGAATGCTTGGCTCAACTCATTTGATCCAGCTGGCTTTCCTTGCCTTTGAGTGAACTAATAAAATCCACTTCTAATACACTGAATCTGCAAAGACTTTACTAACAAATCAACCCAAGAAAAGAATCCATTGGTACAGTTACTGTGGAATCACAGATCTACCCAGTGTGGCTCACATCAGCACCCAGACCATAGTTAAGATAAAGAAATAATTATTATAACAGAGTTGTTAAGACCAAGGGCTTTGGGTTAGTATCCTGCTTCTGCCATTTATTGGTTTTTGTTTTTTATTTTGTTTTTTGGTACTGGGGATCAAATTCAGGACCTTGTGGTTGGCAGGCTGGCGAAGCACCACTGAGCTACATCCCCAGCCCTGCTTCTGCCATTTATGTCTCCAGCTGCCTCATCTCTAAAATGAAAATAGAAATAATCCTTACCTACATCTTAGGCCTGATAAGGGGACTAAGGTGTCCATTAAAAATAATTAATAATAGATAATAGGTGAATGCACACAGAAGAGAACAGAGCCTGAAATACAGTGCCCTCCATGCATGTTGATCATCTTTGTAATTCATTTGAGCTGCATCTCCTGATTGCCAACTCTATGCTAGGAACTTTGCTTCTGCTGGTTCATCAAGTCCTCATAGCAGCTCTGTGCAGTAATCATCTCTATTTGATCAATAAGGAAATCGAAGCTCAGGCTGATTCAGTCATACCACCAATTACAAATGAGCCAGTGTGGGGCCCAGGTTAATTTGACTCCAGAGTCAACATACTGCACTACCATAGTAGGTCAATATGCCTGTGTTCACCTTGCCTGAGACTCAGTGATGGCCTAGAAGTATAAACGGGGACCCACAGATTCCTGAAGGAATGAGGGGCCCCTGTGCCCTTCCCAGCCTGAGGTGACAAGGGACAGAGGTTAAGGTGCTTGGGGGGAGCCAATACCAGGCTCTCTTAATTACCAGCTGTTCAGAGGGAATGGATAAGTAGAAGGAGAACTCAGGAATGACTCCAGGAAGGGAAGCAATGAGAATAGGTTTAGCTCTTCTCTCACTCTAACAGAAACCATTCAGGGTGCTGTGACTGAGTCAGGCTCTATAACATAGTAAAGCAGTCCCGGGTAGGACAAGGGGTAGAAACAAGCCAGACAGGAGTGGCAGTGTCCTTAAATCAGAGTAAGAGAAAGTTTTGCTAATTGGACAGGGGCTGAAGGAAACCAGGCCTTGAAGGGACCAAGGTTAGCTGTAAGTCTGCCCCAGGAGACGGGGCACCTTGTGCCTGACATTGTCCTACAGTGTTTACTTTATATATTGGTTTGTATTCTCCATGTCCTTTTTTCTGTGGGGAGTATCCCCTATCCCTCCCATATGGTATGAAGCTATTACAGGGCTCCAACGGCCCTCTGGCCTAAGCCCTGGTGATCACAGATCACCATGCCCCAGTTATAGGCCTTCTTGTCAAGAAGAACAATTCATTTAATTTTAGTACATTAGTAGGCCTTGTCCTTCCTCTTGGAGGGTGGCTACAAGTACTAAGTAATCCAGGAGTGCAGTACCCATCCTCCCAGGTCTGTGTGAACTAGCCTGGAAGAAGAAGGGCAGCACAGCAAAGAGTGAGTGAGCAACAGGGACCATCTGTGGCTGGATCTTGCTGTGCTCCAAGCAAGATCCATTCCTGAACTTTCCACTTCTGAAGTCCAACAAATTCCACATGCTTAAGCTGCTCTGAGCTGGATTTCTGTCATTTGCAACCCAGAACACCCTAATTATAGACTGCATCTAGCACCCTGATATTTTGCTGAAGGGCAGAACACACAGCTGTGTGCTGATCTCTGGCGCCGGGCCAGGTGGAAACAGTTCCTATGCATCTGCGTGTGAGAATTGCTGTGAATCCCAGGTGCACCTCCAAACCCTGGGGTGCTACACACAGTGAGGACAACAGGGAAAATGACCTTAGTTAGACCCTGGGCTAGGACAGCTCTTCTTCAGGGCCAATGACTGCATCAACTCAGTAGGAAAAGACAAAAAAGGGGGACATGGCTGGAGAGGGAAAAGGAAAAATATAGAGATATACATACCTGCTGCCACCCATGCCCCAACCCCCAAGCCCTGCCATAGTGAAATGAAGGTCTAGGAGGCCGAAACAGACTCTATTTACTGGATTAGAAAATAGCTCTGGAGTAGAACCCCTCAATCACAACATACAATCAAAACCTAGACTGCCTAGGTCTTTATAGTTTTTAAAGCTCTAGGACATGTGTTTTTCCTGTATCTCCACTCAGCATACATTTTTCAGTCATCTCTATGCTCCAGGCTCTGTGCTGAGCAGAGGGAGACAGCCAGGGAATATTTGGTTTCTAGGAGCTGAGAACCTAATAGTGGAAGTAATTTTGTAAACAGGAGATTCTCAGAGCTATGATAAAGTTACACACAGAGTGCTCTGAGGTGCAGAGAGGAAAACCTGACCAAAGGCAGCAGGATGAAGCCATCAAATACAGAAACAGACATGTGCAGAGGCACAGGGTAAAGAGGGGGCAGCGATGGAACCACAGGTAGTTCACAACTCCGAAGCTGAGTTCTAGCAGTGAAGAGGCAGGTAATAAGGTTAGAGGGGTAGGTGCAGAGCAGATCTGTGTCCAGGAAATAATAAGGAGCCATTTCAAGATTTTTAGCAGATTTATTTCAGAAATACAATTTACAGAGTTGATTAGAAAAGGAATGGAAAAAGGCAAAAGCATAGATTGTCCAATAATCTACACAAGAAGTGTCTGAGGTCTGAAGCAAGTGATGGCACTGAGAATGAGGAGAGGGACAGCTGACGAGACACTCCAGGAAGAGGAAGGATAGAATGTAGTGGGAGATAAGGAAGGGAGGAAGCCACTGAATCAGTGCCCATGCCCTTTGTCAAGTCTGGAGGAAAGTTTGGAGGCAGCTCATTTTGGGGCCTTCTTGAGAAGGAAGTGCATGTGGAACTGTCCGGAAAGCAGTGAGAAGTCAGGTCCAGGAGCTAGGATCAAACTGTGGAGAGGCCATGGAGTCT